TTGGGGAGTAATTTTCAGGATTAGTGTATTGTATAAATAATTTTGAATATCCGTTATTTTGGCGCGTAATTTTAAATTGTATAATTCTTGATAAAATTGATTGAATTTTTGTCCTATTTGAGAAGGAGTAGAATAAACTATGTTATCAATCACCAGTTTTTCTACCCTATTCCTCGCATAGTGATTTTGAAGTGTTTTTGTTAAGTTCTTATTAGCTCTGTTGCCCGTGTGGTAATTATTTAACTTTAATTTATTTATATTGATCTTGATCTTTTCTTCTAAGTTGATTTGTTGTTGTAGGTGTTTTAAACAGGTTCTTAAGTCTAAAGTGGAATATTGTTTATTTAAATGAGAGCAAGAATAAAATTCAATATATAAATCTTTTAAATTCTTGCCATTTTTTTTTCTTCTTATAAATATAACCCATTGTGATTAGATAACCCCTCATGACAGATTTGTGAGTGCACCGATTAATCAGAGGGGAAGTATCTGCCGGAATATTTTCGGCCCAAAAATAGTCCAATGACTTGGACAGCTCCTCCCTATTTTGATGGTCTTTAATAAGGGAATCGTTCAGTCTCCAGGTGGTACGGGACAATGGGGGGTTGTTACCAAGATCAAATAGAACAAAGCTATGGTCAGACCAATGATTTTCCTTGATAATAATAGAGTTAAAAAGAGGAATTGTATTTGAGTTAGTTAGACAGTAATCAATCCTTGAATAGGTACCATAAACACTAGATAAATGAGAGTAATCTTTTTGAAAGGGATGGAATAGTCTCCAAATGTCATAAAGATTAAATTGTTTACAAATGCTATGTAATTTTTTGGCCTGTTTTATGATTCTTTTATTATTCATGGATGAAGATATAGCTGTCTTGTCTAATTTGGGGTCATTAACACAATTAAAGTCACCGGTAATAATCAAAAAGCCCTTAGAGATCTTGTCAACTTTATCCATTATTACAGAGAATTTAGCCATTGGATCAACGTTGGGAAGGTATACATTAACCAAAGAATAAATCCTATTATCGATATTGCAAACCAAAATAATAAACCTAGCATCTGGATCCAATTCCAAGTGTATAATATCCAATTTAAGATCTTTATTAAATACAAGTGCAACCCGTCTTTTTTTTTTTTTTTTATCCGTTAAGGAAGCATGAATAATTTTTGAATATTTGTCTCCCCCGCATCTTCGTCTAGAGTCCTTAAAGGACCACTATAGTGCCAGGAAAACATACTCGTTTTCCTGGCACTATAGTGCCCTGAGGGTGCCCCCACCCTCAGGGTCCCCCTCCCGCCTGGCTCTGGAAGGGGGAAAGGGGTAGAAACTTACCTTTTTCCAGCGCTGGGCGGAAAGCTCTCCTCCTCCAATCCTCCTTCTCTCCTCCCCGTCGGCTGAATGCGCACGCGTGGCAAGAGCTGCGCGCGCATTCAGCCGGTCGCATAGGAAAGCATTATCAATGCTTTCCTATGGATGCTGGCGTGCTCTCACTGTGAAAATCACAGTGAGAAGCACGCAAGCGCCTCTAGCGGCTGTCAGTGAGACAGGCGCTAGAGGGAATGGGGGAAGGCTTAACCCATTCATAAACATAGCAGTTTCTCTGAAACTGCTATGTTTATAAAAAAAATGGGTTAACCATAGCTGGACCAGGCACCCAGACCACTTCATTAAGCTGAAGTGGTCTGGGTGCCTAAAGTGGTCCTTTAAGCCAATGGGTTTCCTGTAGAAAAGCAACTTGGATGTTATGTTCCACCAAGGAGTTATACAATCGATTTCTTTTCCTATTAGTATTAAGCCCCTGGGCGTTTATAGATAGAATCTTCAGCATAAAAATACCCCCGTCATAAACAACATAATTATAATCCCACAAAATAAATCCACTAGCATACTGCAGCTAATAGAATGATCTTAACCCAGAACGAGTAGGTACAGCTTCATAGACTTTCTAGTTTCAAGACATGCCATAATACCACAAAGATTACTGGGAGATATATAGTGGCGTATAAGGCCAGTAGAGCTTTATGCCCTTAAATACGAGGATAATTAATTGTTAATACCCGTTTAATAAAATCTCCTTGTGACGTTCATAAAGCAATAAACTAACATCTCTCTGAACAAATTTAAGTAGACCTCATTTTTATGCAGAAATCCTTTAAGGGTGAACATAAATAGGTCCAAAAAAAAAAAAGATATAGACATACAGACAAACCATTCAAAAACAGCCCAATGTGATAACATACACCGATAGGACAGAATATTCAGTCACACATATTCTTTGTGGCATTCCACTTCCTAGCTCAGGTTTTTGAAAAAAAGACAATGTTCTGCCCCACAGATATTTAATCATATACACCTCTACCTTCTGAGCTTCTCTAGGTGGATGTGGTGTATTATGATGTCAGCATTACATGATGTCACTATTAAAACTTCTGCAACTTAGCTATTGTTAGAGGATAAGCCTGCTATCAGTCACCGTAAAACCAACATATATTTTGTGAGCATTTTCTGACACTTTTAGAGCAATTCTTTTATGACTGAGGGGACAGTGCCATGAACGCCAATATGTCTGGTCTGGTTGTCAGAGATATTTTGGATTATCTTTTTTTCTCCTAATTAAATAAATAAGCAATGAACCTTAGTTCTCCGATGGTTTGTGGCAGGCTTGTAATTTTATTGTATCGAAGATCCAACCACACAAGGTGCTGCAGCTGAAGAAAAAGTTTCTCAGGAATTGAGATCAGAGAATTCCCTTCTAAATGTAAATTCTGAAGAGAAAGAAAAACACAAAATCAGTAACACTTGCTGATAACATGCGTATAACACTTGTTAATAAAATACTTTTGGCAAGAAAAAAAAATTAAAATACATTAAATGAATTCTCAGCAACATAGTGCAGCTGATAAGCTGTTTTTCATACTGAGCAACTCCTCTTATCACAGCAACTACAATGTACATGTTGTTGCTGTGATTACTCCTATGGTGCGCTCGGCTGATGCTTGCTAGAGGAGTATTGGAACTGACTGACAGCTGTCACTGTTCTGATGCAGTTGAGTTGGCAATAAAGTGTGTAGGCAGGAGGAGGGGATAGGTGTTACTCTAGTCTAGGACAATGATAAGCAATCTTTGGCAATCCATATGTTGTGGACTCCACATCTCGTAATACTCTTACAGCCATACTAAGGCATCCAGGGAAATGTTGTCCATCTGGAGTTCAGAAGGTTGCCTAGCCCTGCTCCTGTGGTGACAACACGAATCCCAGATCATTGAGGTACTTTTACGATGGAGAGGAGGTGAGTATTTACTTAACTTCTCTTAAAGGAACACTATAGTGTTAGAAATACAAAAGCTGCATTACTAACACTATAGTGTTCCTCTGAACCCCTCACTCGTGCCCCCACTACCCATGGTTGTCAAAGGTTTAATAAACCCTTTTGTTTGTTTACCTTATTCCTGCACATTAGGACTTCCCTCTAGGAAAGCATTATATCAATGCTGTCCTCTGGGGGATTTCAAGACACTGGATGCCCTCATTCACAGCGAGAGGGCGTTCAGCGTCATTTAAACTCCATGAAACACTTGTAGTAGCTGTCTGATAGACAACCACTAGAGGCAGGTTTAACCATGCAAAGAAAACATTGAAGTTTCGCTAAACCTGTTTTACATTGCAGTGTTAAAGGGACAGGGACAGTGCACCCAGACCACTTTAATTTGATGAAGTGGTCTGCGTGCCTATAGTGTCCCGTTAATGCAATACATGATTTAGTGCATTAGTAGCACTTTCATTAAGTATGTTGTTTCTTAGGAATACTTGGCTAAACACAGCATACATCAAGTTTCAATACCTGTAGGTAACGGTTGCTTTTGTAAAGGTCTTCAGCAAGGCAATGCAGGTTTTTCTTGCTGAGGTCCAACGTGTTATTTGAAGCTTTGTTGAAATAAGAACCTAATCCTTGCACTGGGACCTTCATCGTCAGTGCTTGCTTTCTAGTAACTTCACTTGCCGAATTGTTCTTCAAAAAGCAGCCGGATCCCTTTTCATCCATTACTTTAACAATGTCTGTGAAAAATCGTGAAAAGTAAACTACTTTTAAAGACTTATCTGTGAATTATATACAATATAAACCCTCAACATCCAGACATATGGGAGACGGCATCAAATGGAGTTGGAGGATTGAAGTGATGGACTCAATGAGAGACCACAACTGGGAGCAGAGTTGATGGAGCTCTAGCAGAAAGTGGGGTGTCTGTGCCAGCAACGATTTTCCCTCAACAAATCTGCCCCTCGCTCCCCTATCTTCCTTTTTATACCACTTTAATTACTTTCCTTTATCTTCTTATTCCCCCCACCCCCCATTTTTGTTTTCTAATTTTTCCCTTCTTTTCCCCTCCTATGGCACTGCAACTTCCTCTATGTCCTGTGCTGATTAGCATCTGATCCATACACAGTGTTATATCATGTTATACACATAATAAAATGCATCATGGCAGCCTACATAAAAACATGAGATGTACTGGATACCGCACTCACCAAATAGCTTGATAAAAACCTGGTAGGGCCGAAACGTTACCGCTTTTGCCCCAATAAAGCTGCTATTTCTGTTATCCTGAAATGCCTGAACCGTTATTCATTCTACATAAAAAAATTGACTCCAGTTATCGCTGTACTTGCAGAGATAACATATCTCTGCATATGTATTGTTTAATTGTTCATTCCTCACAATATTTCAGTATTGTTTTATTGAATATAAGTCATCACATGCCATTATAAACAACTCTAGCAGGTATATAGAATCTCTTCTTGCAGTGAGTTTAACATAATCAAAGTTTGTTCTTAGACAAGCGAATCAGCCTATGATTAAGAGCTACAAGGACAAAACATTAATACAGCAACAACCTCCCAAGACTAAGCTGAGATGTTTAACTTAAATATATAATACACCTCAATCAATTTAACTTGCAACTTATTTTAAAATCATAGGCTGCTCTATGATTTATTTAGAACGAGTGACAACCACAACACTGTATACTCAAGGCTTCATATATATCTCTGCACTGCTCACTTTAGAGCAGAGTTATCTGTCTGACACTTCAGGAAGTGTGGACTACAACTCCCTTGATGCTTACCTGTGTGAGATGAAGGATTAAGTTTACGAACTACACAATAAATTATTTTACCATATATTTGTAAGTGGTTATGATTTAATTTGTAAAAGGACCAAGAATGATAATAGCATATGATAAATGTTGTATATACTGTAAATGCAATGTAGATAATTTATACAAAATTATGTATTGCTGTTTTTGAAAATTTTACTGAAAATATATACTTCTACTTCTATAAACAGATAGTGTTTTGTTTTTCTAAAATTAATCTTTTTTCCTTTTCCCCATGACACAACACATGATATCCTGATAACATCCCTGACAAAGAATATGTTGGACATTGATACATTATAGAAGAGTATCAGAGGTCCCACCATTGAAATGACTGGTGAAAATATACACACACAGAGCCCACTCCAATCATGCATACTTATAGCCCAAAGTCTTAGCAGATATTTCATTTCAGACCTTCAGAGGCAGAAAGATTGTTTGGTCTCGTTTTACTATCTATATACTCTCCCTGTTTTTATCTGTTTGCCTCAAACTCTCCTTATAAGATGAAACTGGTCTGCCTTCCAGGCAAATATAATCATGTATATTGTGAGGTGAGTGTTACAGATTCCTTGCATTTGGCCCCCTTTAGCAGATGTGTATTATTACATCAGCATTGCATAAGACCCAAGTTATAAAACGAGCAAAGCTATTGTTAATAGAATGCATTGTGAGGTAAATGTTAGACACAGGAGCCTATTGGATGGATGGGTGGATACTTCAAACAGACAAATATTCAGATTGCAATATATTATATGCTCAAAATTAATAAAACTGTTGTTTTTTTAAAAAAATTTTTTTTTTATTAATTTTAGCCTTTTCATTATGCTGTCCTTTTCATATAATATTAAACATTAATGTAACAGTAAATGGATAGAAATGTTGTGTGGTCACTGCTCAAATTCCAGAAACTCATCTACTTACCACGATATAAACAATGCTCAGCATTGTCAGAACCTAAGTGGAAACTTCACAATACAAATTGCCAAAACCATGAATGTATAACAGCTATCAATAAGACATATAAACACATTATAAAGTACTTCAACATTCAACTATTGTGTACATGTTACATAATGAATTCAGTCTATTAACCGTCACGTGCATATTTCATTTTGTATCACCTGTAGGCTCTACCTATAATTTAAAGTAATTTTGCAAGTATTTCTCCAACCTCAATACAGAAGCCATTATTTTGAGGTACAAAAGAGTTCACACTATCCATTCTTAGAAAATGCGATCAGTAAAGTATAGCAATAGCATGTGTTGTGAAGAATAAACAGCACTGCACTCCAACAACTGTGGACTTCAATTCCCATGATGCTCTGCAAGAGAAAGCCTGGGATAGGAAGCCCACAAAAGCTGGAGTGCTAACGATTAGCCATGTACTGTTATATCATGCAGACACTCAGCATTGTTGTGCAGTGCTACTTACCACGCAGGTAAGTGGCTGTTCGTGCACAGGTCAGTCTCAGCGAGCACACCTTACATTATAGGCATCCATGGCTGCACTTTCTATGGGAAACAGGATTCACTCCCACAATCCTCTTTACAGAGCAACACTTAGCTTCTGTTAGAACGCTGTGTAACATTAGAACGTTCGGAAAGACGCGTTGCTAAGGCAACCACTGCATGACTACAGCAGCCAACGAGGACCAATCTTTGCTAAAAGGCGAAATGATCACTTTGTTATGTTTAACCCCTTAAGGACTGGACTGTTTTTGCGATGTTGTACATTTGCGACCGGAATATTTTTACACTTTTGTGGTGTTTGTGTTTGGCTGTAATTTTCCGCTTTCTCATTTACTGTTCCCATACAAATTATATATTGTTTTTTTCAGGACAAAAAGGGCTTTCTTTACATACCATTATTTATATAATCTCATGTATTTTAATTTTAAAAAAATACAAAAATCTGATGAAAAATTGAAAAAAATACATGTTTTTTGACTTTTACTTGAAAAATCTTTTACTCATCTACAAAAGCGAATGAAAAAAACTGCTAAATAGATTCAAAATTTTGTCCTGAGTTTAAAATACCTAGTGTTTACGTGCTTTTTTGCTTTTTTTTGCATGTTATAGGGCTATAGGTACAAGTAGGATATTGCGGTTTCAAAACATACATTTTTAAAATTTATCAATAGTGACATTATAACACTATTATCTGTCATAAATCTCTGAATAACACCCCACATGTACATATTTTTTTTAAAGTAAACAACCCAGGGTATTCAATATGGGGTATGTCCAGTCTTTTTTAGTAGCCACTTAGTCGAAAACACTGGCCAAAGTAAGCATTCATATTTGTTTGTGTGTGAAAAAAGTTAAAAAACGAAATTGAACGCTAATTTTGGCCAGTGTTTGTGACCAAGTGGTTACTAAAAAAGACTGGACATACCCCATTTGCAATACCTTGGGTTGTCTTCTTTTGCAAATGGTATGCCATCATGGGGGTAATTCTAATTCCTGGGCTACCATACGCTCTCAAAGGCAACGTAACCAACCTGGCCATTTTCAATGTAAAAATATTTGACCCATATATTTGACCCTGTAACTTTCAAAATGCTATAAAACCTGTACATGGGGGGTACTGTTATACTCAGGAGACTTTGCTGAACACAAATATTAGTGTTTCAAAACAGGAAAACGTATCACAACAATTATATCATCAGTAAAAGTGCTGTTTGTGTGTGAAAAATGCAAAAAAGTAACTTTCACTGACAATATCATCGCTGTGATATGTTTTACTGTTTTGAATCACTAATATTTGTGTTCAGCGAAGTCTCCCGAGTAAAACAGTACCCCCCATGTACAGGTTTTAGGGTGTCGTAGAACGTTACAGGGTAAAATACAGTGCTAACAAATTAAATTCTCTGGAATTTCGGCCTGGGTTGGCAGGCAGGTCCCTCAAATTGCAATCAATAAAATTACTGAATTATGTAAAAATATTACATAAATATGCACGTAGAATTTAAATATATATGCATATTTATATAGTTTAAGTCTACGTGTATATTTATATAATTATTTATGTAATTTTGTATATGGACATATGTATATTTCGTATTATTTTTATTTATTTATATATACATAGATATATGTACAAATTCATTCTAAGTGTATTTTGATATAAATATATATATATTAATTTTAAAATACAGTTAGAATAAAATTTCATATAGATATATAATTTTTTTTTAATTTTTATTATTATTTAAAAAAATTTATTTAATTTAAATTACTTATTATTTATATTTTATAATAATATATATATACAATATATATAGTTATTATATATATTATATATATACGTGTGTAATTTAATTATAAGTGTATTTTATATTAATATAAGTACATATTAATATAAAAATACACTTAGTATGACATTATATATATATGATATATAGACATATATTATATAGATATAATATATGTCTATATATCATTTATACATATATAATTATTATTATTTTTTTTATTACCATTAACTTTATTTTTTTTACTGATTTTACACATGCAGGGAGATTGCCTGTCAGCACAGACAGTCCCCCTGCAGGCAGACACATGGACACCTATTGTGACCATGTGATCGCTCTGTTAAGCGATCACATGGCCACAGGGGTCCTAATTCAGTGTGGGGAGACTGTCTGGGCTGCAGGCAGTCTCCCCACAACCGGAGGAACACTGATCGCCGCCAGGGGAACGACGGCGATCAGGTAAGTACCCCCAGACCGTTAGGACGGTTCAGGACCGTCATCGGTCGGCAAGGCAAAAATGCCGATGACGGTCCTGAACCGTCCTCGGTCCTTAAGGGGTTAAATAATATATATTTGAATGCTTTTTTTTTTTATGTTGCCCACATATTTTAGCAGAGCAAGTTGTATCTTCTTTGAATTACGCACAATGCACTGTAGGATGGCAGTGTGTCTTTGCTGTTTAATTTTTTTTCATTTTATTTCAAAATAAATACTTAAGTAATAACATGCATGTTTTGTGAAGCAAAACCCCTTCTACAAGCTCTGAAAAGGTAAATTAATCTGCATATTTTATATTCTATATAGTTACAATGTTAGCAATCTTCTATAATTATATTGAATTCAGCTTTGTAGTGTAATGTTCAATTAGTAGATTATAGGAAGGAAAATGTAATTGGAGTGGTGATTTTCAATGATTTGTCAAGTGCCACTCCTGGACATTGCTTTTTATTAAATAGTTCAGTGTCATTGTACAGTATCCTGTGTATGGGTACCTTGAAGGGAAACTAAAGGGGGCAAGGACAGGGCCGGCCTTAGGCCATTAGGCGCCCTGTGCGAAAGCTCTTCACGGCGCCCCTTCCCCCACCAAGTTGCCGGTATACAGTCACACACATAGGCAGACAGTCAGACACTCTCAGTTACAGGGATGCAGGCACTCTTGCACTTGATAGGCACACACTCAGTTAAAGGCAGCTAGTCACACATACAGGCACACACAACAGCACAGCTACAGCGACACACACAATTGGAGTCACACACAGTCACACACACAGTTACAGTCACACACACACAAGCAGAAAGTCACACACACACAAACAGGCAGACAGTCACACACACACACTCAGACAGACAGTCACACATACACACTCAGACAGACAGTTACACACATGGAGGCAGTCACACACACACACACACAGAGGCAGGCAGTCACGCAAACAGGCAAACAGTCACACAGAGGCAGGCAGTCACACAAACAGGGAGGCAGTCACACAAACAGGCAAACAGTCACACAACACACACAGGCAGACTGTCAGAGTATTTATATCGGCAGACATTTTGTGCTATGATAGAAACTAAAAGTGTATATTCTGAGTCACTCTGAACAGACCAGACTCCATTTTGTTATTTCAAGTTAACAAAGAAGACACTAGATTTCTTTCTGTAAGACTGGCCTCTTTGCCAGAGCTAAGGAATGCATAGCATAGTATAAACAAGTGATAAGAAGAATATAATCAAATCTAAACCCAGACAATTGTGACAGAGAAGATTAAATAATTTAATATTTAACTGTCTATACATATAAGGTACCATTGTATGGAAAAGGGTAAACTTAGTTCATGATCTGTCATATCAGAAATTATAGCAGATTTGCAGACACATAGTCTGGACAAAATTTAAGAACCCCTTTGATCTTTGAAGGATACGTAAGTTATAGCCACTATCTAGATAGGCCAAAATGACGTCAAAATAGCCAACAGGAAAAGTTAACTCTTTCCTGGATAGGTATGTTTAGTGGGACAAGACTGCCCTCTACAGACCAAATACCTAATTTGCGATCTGGAAGATAACCACACCTCTAGTGCTTCTATTGGGTTATCAACTGATGACGTACAGAGAGTCTGGCCCTTTAAAAGTTAAGACAAAGGGAAGATAGAGAGATACGAGGAGAGGAGGCAGATGCAAGATATGCAAAGGAGAGGAGAGAGGAATTGGAAGTTTGGGGATTCCAACTCGGACAACATCTGAGACTAACACTCTACTCCTAAAACTCTAACACTTAGAATTTACTGACTTTCTAACCAACACCTCCATGCAGAGAGACTACCAATCGGATGAAATATCTACTCAACTGGTAATTATACTGGTTTCATTTAATTAAATTAAATTAATTAAAATATATTAATAGCATTATATATGACTGGATAAAGCACGGTCAGATTTCCATATTAAGAAATCTTAGTTAACTAAGAATATATAGTTATAAACATTCCATTCTGCAGGTGGAATTAAGAATAATTATATATTGATGTGATATTATCACGTGTTAGCATACCGCTGTTTTTATCCAGGTGTATCGATTTGCTCTAAATTAAGATAGATATCTTTTAGACAAATTAAAATCTGCTTATATAATGGTAAATTCTCTTATTGGATGGTTTAAGAAAATGAATTTAAACTGGTTTAAATGTTATTTTATTTAAAAATTACATAAGAATAGATCTTAACTACCTAGGAGATCTAGCCAGCATTGAAAGGGTTATTCTAACTGTCTGCTAAACTTTACGGCCTTACGCTGCACTCTGAGGAATTCTGTTCTTCGCTGTGAAAAGTTTCACTTTCAGTCTGTGGAAGCTAGTCATAAATCGTCAGAATTCTTGACAGAAAATGCTAGTTAGCCATTGAAACGTAATACCCATTCCTTTGTATTGCATATAATTTTGTACTGGATATTCATTGATTATTGTTATGCATGTTACATAATATTATTTGTTAATTATTGGTTATCATAAATAAAATCTATTTTTATACATTGTGATATTATTATATGAAATACATTCCACTTAACACGATAAACGTTCTTTGGGATCTGAGAATTGAATTAGTGGGCAATTCTCAACTGTTTACTATTATTATCCCATAAATATTCCCACAAGACAGACAGGCGGGCAGTCACACAAACAGGCAAACAGTCACACAGAGGCAGGCAGTCACACACACACACACACACACACACACACAGGCAGCAAACAGGCAAACAGTCACACACATGCAGGCAGTCTCACACACACACACACACACACGAGGGGCAGTCACACAAACAGGCAAACAGTCACACAGGCAGGCAGTCACACACACACACACACAGGCAATCACACAAACAGGCAAACAGTCACACACACACACAGGCAGTCACACAAACAGTCAAACAGTCACACACAGGCAGTCAGTCACACACACACACACAGGCAAACAGTCACACAAAGGCAGGCAGTCACACATACACAGGCAGTCACAGAAACAGGCAAAAAGTCACACACAGGCAGGCAGTCTCACACACACGCACACACAGAGGCAGGCAGTCACACAAACAGGCAAACAGTCACACAGAGGCAGGCAGTCACACACACAGAGGCAGGCAGTCACACACACACACACAGAGGCAGTCACACAAACAGGCAAACAGTCACACACAGGCAGGCAGACACACACACACAGGCAGACAGACAGAGGCAGGCAGTCACACACACAGAGGCAGGCAGTCACACAAACAGGCAAACAGTTACACACAGGCAGTCACACACACACACACAAACAGGCAGGCAGTCACACAAACAAGCAAACAGTCACACACAGGCAGGCAGTCACACACACACACACGGCAGTCACACAAACAGGCAAACAGTACACACAGTCAGGCAATCACACACACAAACAGGCAAACAGTCACACACAGGCAGGCAGTCCCGCACACACACACACACACAGGCAGTCCCGCACAAACAGGCAAACAGTCACACACACAGGCAGGCAGTCTCACACACACACACACACACACACACAGGCAGTCACACAAACAGGCAAACAGTCACACACAGGCAGGCAGTCACACACACAGGCAGTCACACAAACAGGCAAACAGTCACACACAGGCAGGCTCACTAACACATACAGGCAGTCACACAAACAGGCAAACAGTCACACACAGGCAGGCAGTCTCCACACAGGCAGGCAGTCACACAAACAAACACACACAGGCAGGCAGTCACACACACAGGCAGGCAGTCTCACACACACACGGGCAGTCCACACACACACACACAGGCAGTCCACTGCGACAGGAGCAAACAGTCACGGAGCGGGCAGACGCACACACACACACACACACACACACACGCAGGCAGTCACACAACACAAACAGGCACAAGCAGTCTCACATACACACACACACACACACACACACACAGGCAGTCACACAAACAGGCAAACAGTCCCGCACACACACACACAGGCAGTCACACAAACAGGCAAACAGTCACACACAGGCAGGCACACACACACACACACACACACACAGGCAGTCACACAAACAAACAGGCAAACAGTCACATGCAGGCAGTCACACACACACACACAGGCAGTCACACAAACAGGCAAACAGTCACACACAGGCAGGCAGTCACACACACACACAGGCAGTCACACAAACAAGCAAACAGTCACACACAGACACACAGAGGCAGTCAGTCACACAAACAGGCAAACAGTAACACAGAGGCAGGCAGTCACACACGCAGTCACACAAACAAGCAGTCACACACACACACACCTCTTTCCATTACTGCTGGAAGGAGGAGTGGATGCAGTTCCTGTGCAGCAGTTTCCAGGGGGCTTCGGGTATTTATTAGCTCTGCCTCCGCCACTCGTTAAGCCCCGCCCCGTCGCTCATTAAACCCCGCCCCTGCAGCTCATTAAGCCCCACCCCCTGCTTCTTCTTTTTTTAGACCTGGGTGGAGAATAATTAATCCTCCACCCGGGTACCTGTTTTAGCTCCCCTGATACCGGCTATGTGCGAGCTGTGTCGGCAGTCAGGGCGCCCCCTGCTCCATGGTGCCCTGTGCGGCCGCACAGCTCTCACACCCCTAAGGCCGGCCCTGGGCGAGAGCATTAGTGCCTATGTTTAACACATAAAACATTATCATAAAATAAATCCTTACAGGTAAGAATGTTTTTTACCCGTAATGATTAATTTTATGATTTATGTTTTAAACATAGTTTTAATGTTCCCAAGAGAAGCATTAAAGCGGCACTGTCACCCCAAATCTTCATGACATGTACATAGTCGCCTCTGCAGCAAATGCTTAAACCCCAACACCAATCCCCATAAAAACACTGACACCATGTTTTTGGCAAAATGTATCATAGCTGCTATTGAAAAGTTTTTAACAAGTAAAATTTAAGGTCATTGTCAACACCATGCCAACATTGACATGTAACTCCAGCATCCTGCCTTTATACAATTAAAGCCCCCGACAATGACCCACTCTTACATAAACAATAAATCCCAACAACATTATAACACCATTTAACACATAACCATTGCCACCAAGGGCATCTATATTCACAGTTCCACAATTGTAGGGGTATACCAAGATACCCCAGGTTCTGAGCTACCAATGAGCCCGAACCTACCAAACCAGTCCAAAGGCCTACCTATTTTCCCTGAACTAAACATTTTACCCCATATCAATCCGACCTACCCCCCGTTTCTCTCCATCCCCCGCCACAGCTCAGAGCTTGTCTCCCGTCTCGACTCTGACCACCCACTCCAAAAAGGTGCTACATTTTTCAAAGTAGGTGCAGGAAATAGGCCCATGGGCAAACAGAGATCTTCAAAATACTTGTCCTCAAAATAACAGCCCAAAAAATTATGACACTTAGGGTGAATCAGAAGGATACGAATAGCCGATTTCACATTTGCCTTGGCCAACTATGAATCCGCGGCCTGCCCGCCGAACCAAATCAACCGCCTGATCAAATGACGCATATGATATGGAACAAAGGGCTTATCAATATCATCGTTTACGGATGATCCCTTTGGATAAGAAATATGGTGTATCAACCGGTACTTACCAGGTTCCTTTTCCGGCACCACCCACAGAGGAGAAACCCTAAGATGAGGAAGTGGGGGTTCCACAAAAGGTCCTGCCATCCTGCCCAATTGGACCTCTTTGAATAATTTTTCCCGCACCACCCCGGGAAATTCCCCAACCGATTGTAAATTATAAAGTCGAGGAACCACCACCCTCTCCCGAAACGGGATAACAAAACCACTAGTAAAACCATCCTTCAGTAATGACGCATCAACCTGGTTACCGTATCTGTTTAGCCACGGCAACATCGCGCCGACCTTCAACGACGTTAACCCCACCGGCAGCGGATGGGACCGCAACTTCCGAGGAACCCCCTGCAGCCTCTTTTGAGGCACCGATGAAGTCCATGAGTTCCTCCACAACCCGAGCATTCATGCTTAAACCGACATGTGGCCCCCCCACTTGCACTGCCCTTCATTGAAGTGAAGAGCCAGCAAAAACCTTTTCTGGGCTGGCCGACAAGGTGGAGGAAGATCCCGCGCTGGCCCCCAAATGAAAGGGGGAGGCCTTCTGGGCCATCATTAGCTTAATCCAGAGCTGTAGGTCCATCTGATCCCACCGCATCCCTGGATTGGCAGACAAGCGCTGACAAAACTGTTCGTCATAACGCCACCACTCGAGACCCCGTACGTGCAAAATGCCTCCCAAATACCGTCAAGGTAGCAAACTAACTGGGAACAATGATCTGGAGACTTCTCCCCCATCATGCTAGCTAGAATACAAAAGGCCCTCAACCAATTGCCGAACGTCTTAGGAATCTTACGGTACCGACACTTCTTTTCCTCCTCTTCTTTCTTAGTATCCTTGTTATCCTCTTCTTTAAGATCTATATACTCCTCCAGAGGGAAGAAGGGCATAGATCTCCACAAACTCTCCTTTCCAAATTTACTTCATACTTAAGATGACAGCCGAAAGGTCCTGCAAAGAAAAAGTGTACGTTCTGACGAGCCGCACCCGGAATACCCACTGTCAAATTCGCCCGCTCACTTCCTAAATCAATTGATGCCAAATCAGCCCCCTGTGCACCCTCCTACAACAGGGACCCCAACTGCACTTGACCCTAAACCTTCCACCCTTGGCACCCAAACCTGACTAAAATTCACATCCTCACCCTTACCCTCACTCCAAGAATATATCCCTGACCTGCCTCTCTCCCGAGTGGGAACCGTGGCTTAATCTCCCACTAACGTCCTGACCCCTAGGGCCGTGGGCGTGCGAAGAAGCCCCTGCACTGCCCCTCTCTGGAGAACTGCTAGTAGACCTAGACCCGCTATGCCTCCGGTACTCAATCCTAACAGGGGAATCTGAAATCCTCCCCCGTGGGGGCAAGGTTGTTGGGAGCTGACTCACTGGGATGAGGAACAGCTGATGTCTCCACTTGTTGATTCCAAGCAGCACTTACCAGATCCTGCTGCAAAGTCTGCCGTTTGTCCTGCCTCATTCACTGTGTCTCCTGCCCGAATGTTGCAGCCCTCCTGCCGAACGGCCATCTGCATCTGAAACAATATAATCACCTCCCAAAAGCTCAGCCGCATGCGAAAGGCTGCATTCACGAACCGAACGTTCGGCAGTTTCCATACATCCACGTTCGCGAATCGAACGTTCGACAGTTTCCATACCTTCACGTTCGCAAACCAAACGTTTGGCAGTTTCCATACCTACTAGTTTGCGGCCTGAACGTGCGATCACAAGGGAATCCTTCTGTTCCCGGCCCGACCGTTCAGACGGAGACTCATTTCTGTTGCCATGACTCGAACGTACGGCCGCACACCGACGCCTCCCACAACCTCCTCCACTCCCTGGTTTTCCACCGACATCCTCATCAAACTGCCAGGGTCTCCAGATGGGCTCTGCCATCGCCTCGTACACCGCACCGTGTGGGGCTCAATCTCTGAATGGGCTTGGATCTCCGAGCGGGCCTCCACGCTGGGGACGTGGTAGATCCTGAAGGCAAAGCATCACCCAAACGGCCCTACAGCCACTAGACGCCTCTCTCCTGCACCGCTGCCCTGACTCCTGCTAGCCAATCTTCCATCCTGAGGTGAGAAAACCTGCAGAGGAGACAAAATGAAAAAACACTACACAAGCCTGTCACAACAACAGGTAAGTGCAGCTTAATTAAAACGTCCCCTTAACCTAAAATGACCCCTTTATATATGGCCTGGTAACTCCACCCACAATGCTATTTTGTATCCAATCACATACACCCCCGTCACTATATGCCTGTCTCCTAGCAATTTCAAGGCCCACTCCCCTTAGCTACGCTGGTACATGGGCTACATTTTGACTGTGCTCTAGACCCTGGGCGGAGCCATACCGTGTAGAACAAGCATTTCAAACTTGCAGCCCATAATAGTTATATTTGCGGCCCACCGGCCCTGGGGCCACTTTGTGTTGTGGCTGTGCCCAGCTGCAAGACAGAAAAGATATTTCCTGTCTGATTCTTGTCTTCCCACGTGTTAGGATTACTAGTAAATCCAGCATGCGGAATTATATCACACCTAGGACTAAAGGTAACGTCTTACTGGGCCTTAGAATGGACTTAACGTACCAGAGAATAGTCAGAATACTTGCCAAGGTCAGTGTAATGATATTGATGTTACAAAGTTTTGGAATCCAGTAGTCAGATCAGCAATGTTTTCTGCCAGAGGTAGCCACTCGTTACCCAGGTGGTTGAGCCCCTGAGCCTTGAGTGGCCTTCTGGTCTTAAGCAGAGATGGGAGACTGGAACAGAAAGATGATAATCGTAGTGAGGCAAGCCGAGGTCAGTGGGAAGGAGAAGCAGCAAAGTCAAAACAGTCCAAATTCAGCAACAGGAAGGAGAAACAGGAACACACTTGATTAGAGAGTACAGGAACCACAATAATCTGGCAAAGGTACAGAGACAGGAAGTGGCTTTTATAGGCCAAGAACCAGACACCTGACCAGACACAGAAGAGAGTTGTCACTGATAATCTTGACTCTACAAGCAATGGTATCAGATCTCAGGTAAATTTGCAAAAGGCAGGCTGGTGTACTGGTAAGGAAGAGGTTTAGCACAGTCAGGGACACAGAAGGAGACACAACGATGAGGGAAAGCCAAAAGTCAAGGATACCAGAAATCAGGGAAGTCAAAACGAAGCCAAAGTCAATAACCAGAAATAAACGCTCAGGAACACACTCTCGGATCACCAGCTGATGGAAACTACGACAGGGCAATTAGAAGAAGTAAAAATGTGTTTAAATTGATACATGGTGCAAACACGCCTCAAGCAAATATACCCCGAGGCATCAGATTGCTGCTGGAGGTGCACATCAGGAACGGGCTTCATGCTCCATGTCTGGTCGACATGCCCAATAGTGACATCGTACTGGAAAGCGATAACAAAATTAATCCACGGTAGCACGGGTATCACCCCGCCTATGACACCTGATTGTCTGCTGCTCCATAATTACCCACCCAAATTGCCCAAAGCAACAAAGTATCTAATATGATAAGTAAAACATGGAAAAATCTAGAGGCACCGACCATAACACAGTGTCTCCAATTAATTGACACAACCCAATACTATGAGTCCTCATGCAGGGCGGCTCTCTCCACCAAGTCAGCTGAACATGTCTCGAAGTCTCGCCAGCCGAGTTCATAATAAACCAACTCTGTTCTGCTATAGTGGTTCAAACGTTTAAACCACCCTCCAATGGCCCCTTTTCCAAACATGCTATCTGAAGTTGCCTTCCAACAGGCAAGGCATGACACCTTGACCAAACACGACACAAATCTGTCTCTCTCTAAGCCCACTGCCCTGTCCCCTTCCCTCCCCGGATCCCTTTCCCTCCTGATTAAAACTGTTCATAGTGATGCATACAACTGCTTTATGTATACCAATGATGTAACAAATTACCATTTCTTCTGTATACCCTGTATACTCTGTGAATGCACATTGTGAAGTTGAAAGTGTAAAAAAGCCTCCTACAGATCCGATCGTCCGTAACCGGCCTTTGACCCCAGAACGTGCGTTCGCGTCTTTTGCGTGACGTCACACGCACGTTGATATTGTCATAACCGTGGGCGGACGTGGGGCTATAAAATGGCGTGGCTCTGCAGCGGCCAGCGGCCACCAACATGTTGCAGCATTCAGGTATACTGGCGCATGGCGGCTGATCGGCACTTCCATTATTGTCAGGAAGGCAATTACTACCGCAGGTACCACAAGGTGAGGATGAATATGTTACACCATGGCCGATTGCATGCTTTCACAGGCCAGCCACTTCCCTTCCCTCCTGCTCGCAGTGCCAGAGGAGCGTCTAGCCTGCTTGGGCAGAAAAGAGCAGGACTGGAACTGGAGGATGGGTGGGGGATGGGGGGTGGCTTCCTGTGTAGTGTCTTAAATTGGGGAGTGGGGGCAGTGTATTAATTTGAGGTAAGGAGAGGCCAGTGTTTTAAATTAGGGGAGGGAGTGGGCAGTGTATTAATTTTAGGGAGGGGGCACTGTATTAATTTGGGGGAGGGAGGGGGCCAGTGTATCAGAGTTGTAGGAGAGGGAGGCAGTGTATTAAAGTGGTGGAGGGGGGGCAATGTAATGCATTTGTGGGCAGTGTATTCAAGTGGGGGAGGGGGCAGTGGATTAGTTTGAGTCTGCATGGAGGTGGTGAACGCTTCCCATGGAGATGCTGATTAGCCGCGCAGCTTTTTGCCACACATGCACAATAGCCTCCCAATGCTTTACTATAAGAAAGCAGTGGATTAGCTGTGATCTTCAAGTTTGATGATCTCAGCCAAAGTGAAGAACACACTCATAGGACTTCAAAATCAGCAAGATAACGTCATTTGTTTTTTTACAGCTGTGCAACAGCATACATTCACCATTTCAGTCCCATTACCAAACTTTTCTTCGTATGTCAAGGAAGTTGGACTAAAACATTGGTTATATGCAAATGCAAATCTCCTTAAAATAAACTCACCCTTTTGTTTACTTTGAAGCCCTACGAGTCTGAGGACGTCCAGTGTCAGTTATGAACCTTTTTTTAAACTGTAATTTTTTAAAATAAACCTACGTTTCTATGAAAACTGACGGTTTCGTTTTGTTGTGGCCCACATAAACTTAAACTTTGTTTGTTTGGCCCGTGTCAGCCTTTGAGTTTGACATTCTTGGTGTAAAAGGTTTAAGCCGCCCAGCCGCTACCAGTGATGATTGCAGGGAAATGGCTCTCTCTGTGGAGGACCCCGTGGTTTTGCCCCTGTAAGTCCTTTTGCCAGTACAAGTGCTGGCATTTATCCTGGTGTATTCAACACATAGATAAGGCTAGAAAAGGCACCAGGAGCCCACAGCCCTGCACCTGCCTGATCCTTACTAGATACCAAGGAAACCACCCTCCAACTGTAAAAACATAACTAAAAAGGAGGGTGGCTAAATAAAATATATATTTCAATGTGTTAACAGTGTCTGTGTAGTTCTGTGTATGTGTAGAATTGTGTAGCAAAGTGTGTTTGGTATTGTATAAAGTAGTGTATGTATGTAGTAGTAATATGTGTGTGTGTAGTAATGTATGTGTATGCAGGTGTGTGTGTGTGTGTGTGTTTAGCAGTGTATAGTAGTGTGTTAGCAATGTTTTTGCATTTATCAGTGTGATTGTGTGTATGTTTAGCAAAGTGTCTGTTTAATATTGTGTGTATGTCTCACAGTATACACTTCCCTCTTGGAGCATGTGTTGAAGTATACCTTTCTGGAAGCCTGTGTGTATCTGAAAGTGTGCATAGTCCTGTGTCTGTCTATAGTTATAGACAAACTATTCAGGAGAGTCTATTATTTCCCCAAAAACCCTTGTTGAAAGCATATTAAGTAGTTTATCTCCCAAGAGAAGTTTTTCTTATAACATAAGGTGAGCGAATCCGCTCTGTAAACTGGAAGCAGTCGTACTGTGAATGCCATTTGTTTATTTTCCATATTCACTGCTTATTAATGAAGGCTACATTCAGGTATTGGCAGAGCCACGATGTCCTGGTCATCTCTCTTCTGGGAGATGAGAGAGCTCGGCCCAAATTGTCGGTCCGCCATGCTTTCAGTGCTGTAACATTTAAGTAATTCCAAACCCCTCCCTGAGAGTAGGTGCAAGGGGCTTTATACACCATCAACTCTGCACAGTACAATTCAGCCCATGAATTATTTCACTTGGGTGAATTTCAAACACAAGGGATAGGTGTGTGCAAAGGGTAAGTCAGGCATACCCTAATATAGGGCCAAATTGTCCCCACTGTCATCATCAAGTGAGATGATCATTACATCTTTAGCCAGTGTACTGTGTGCTGATGGCAGATGTAATTTTTGTTTGCACAGAATTGACATGTGTGCCAGGTGTGTAACTAGCCCACGGCACAAAAGTGAAGATATCTCTGTATGTGTAACGCTTTAAGCAGAAACTCTGCACATGGATACCCCTTTTCTAAATGCATGAGTGGTCATGGTGGTTGGAGTAATTCTTTAATAGTGTTTGATATCCTGCTAGTCAAATATTTGCTACAAATTTAAATTTTAGAATAATTGGTTCAATTAATTCG